TAAGTTAATCAAGAGCTCTTTCGTTAGGCTTCAGAAAACCTTCAATTTGCTCATTTACCATTATAATGGTTATTGCAAAATTCTTCAATCAGCCAATTATTTTTACGATTATCGAGAGCTCTTTCATCAGACTGCCAAAAATCGTCAACTTTTCTCTTTTTTGTTAGAATGGTTATAGTTAAACTCTTCAATCGGCAAATGATTTCTACGTTAATCAAAGACCTCTTTCATCAGACTGCGGAAAGACGTTAATTTTGCTTTTTCTTTTTTTTTTGTTATCTTGGATATACCCAAACTAATCATCAACAAATGATTTCTACGTTTATCAAGAGCTTTTTCATGAGCCTTCAGAAAACTGTCACTTTTGCTCATTTTTTCCGTTATCAATGTTATAGCCAAACTCAACAATCAACATATGATTTCTACGTTAATCAAGATATCATTAATCAGACTGCAGATTGCCGTCAATTTTATCTCTCTTGTTTGTAATCATGGTTATAGCCAAACTCATCATGAGCAAATAATTTTTACGTTTATCAAGAGCTCTTTCATTACACTGTAGAAAACCGTCACTTTTGCTCATTTTTCTTTGTTATCATGGTTATAGCCAAACTCATCAATCATCAAATGATTTCTACGTTTATCAAGATCTCTTTCATCGAACTGCAGAAAAGCGTCAATTTGGCTCTCTTTTTTCCATCGTGGTTATAACCAAACTCATCATTGGCAAATGATTTCTATGTTTATCAAGAACTTTTTCATGAGCCTGCAGAAAACCGTCAATTTTGCTTCTTTTTTTTCGTTATCATTGTTATAGCCTAACTCATCAATCAGCAAATGATTTATACGTTTATCAAGATCTCTTTCATCAGACTGTAGAAAGCCGTCAAAATTGGCTCTCTTGTTTTGTTATCATGGTTATAGGCAAACTTATCAATGAACAAATAATTTTTACGTTTATCAAGAACTCTTTCATCACCTTGCAAAAAAACGTCAATTTTGCTCCTTTTTTTGTTATCATGGTTATAGCCAAACTCATCAATCAGCAAACTATTTCTACATTTATCAAAAGCTCTTTCATTAGGCTGCAGAAAATCGCTATTTTGCTCCTGTTTTGTGTTATCATTGTTATAGCCAAACTTATGTTCAACAAATAATTTCTACGCTTATCAAGAACTCTTTCATTAGACTCCCGAAAACCATCAACTTTGCTTCTCTTGTTTTGTTATCATGTTGATTAGGTTTTATATTATTTTGTCATTCAGTGAGAAATTAATAATAAAATTATGTAACTTCTGTAGGGTGAAGGTTTTTTTTATAAAGTAACTAAACTATACTGTAGTTATCAAATAATTTTACTATTAATTTTAAAATAAAATATACATTATGGACCAACCATTATAAATAACTATTATATATCAGAATTTAATTGATCAGTTTTGAATCACTAATGATCTTGACTCATTTTCTATTCCGTATACCAATAATATTCACTCATTTTCTATTCTGTATACCAATAATATTCTTAATTCTTCTTCTTCATCTTCATTGGTCTCAAGATCGTCCTCCACGTTCAAATATGAAGTAAGTATTCAACATCAGCGGTATTTCCCTTGTTTGTACAAGTAAAACCACTAACGGACTAAGAAATTGAGGTTAACATATAAACAAAGGCATGCATGACTACAATCTAAACGAAAAAATTTAGATAAAACCAATGCATGATCACCGTAGCATTGGTGAAGCGACCTCAGGGTAACAACAACAATAGCTGAGTGCATGTATCAGATTCAAACATTCGCGTTCCCTTAATGCTATCTCCTCTCTTTCTTTTACCGGTATGTAAGAGTCTTCCATCTGTTCCTTCTCATTCCTCTATAGATACAATCATAACTTTTGTGTTCTCTATCACCTGCAAAAGAAAGATTTCAAGATACTAAAGGATGTAGAACATGTTCTTTTCATCCTCATCTCCAGCTACGTGCTCAAGTAACGTTGTTAACATTTCATATCATCACCATCTTCTTCTTTCTCTTCCGATTAGGGTTTTCGATGCCATTTTGACCTTTCCTATAACATACATGCTCTCCACTGCGACCAATGTCGTATCTCCTTCTATTGCAACAACGTATTGCTTCACTATATAATTCACCATTGCTGATTCCGGTTGATGATAACACAAAGACAGAGCAAAAATCATATCAGAAACATTATATATATATATATATATATATATATATATATATATATATAAAGTTTGGGTTTAGTACTTGTTTTAAATTTTAATTAAAAAAAATATTGCTTACAAAACAAATATCTACAAACACTAAATCAAGCACACACACAAACAATCTAATCGTGTACTTACAATTGATTTTTTTATAAGTTTGTAGATGGAGTGATGAAGAATATCGTGATCATAGGAAACATGAATCATATTGAACTAATTCACTTCTCCAAAAGCAGCTTGATCACACTCCACAGTATAAGAAAAAAAAAAGGAACTAACAAAATAAACTCACGTTATGTAGAACTCATATTCCAAAATAATTCAAAACAAAGCTAAAAAGTGATCTAAATGGAAAGTGGAGTGTGATCAAGCTTGGTGAGTGCGGCATGAGCAGTTTTTGTTGACCTTCATAATAAATTACATACATGCGGCATGAGCAGTGTTAATAATACGAATCAACTCTTAGTTCTGGCAACATCTCTTACTAATAAAAGGTGTTCATTGAGGCCTCTCAATATATCCACATCAGCACAATCAAAAGCATTTTAGAGGAAGCCACGTAAGCGAAGATTTTGCAAGATGTCACATCACTCTTAAAAACCACTTACAATTATCCACGTCTCATTGACACATAGTATATAATAGGTCACTCAAGAGACTCCCCTCGCCCAAACTTCAGCTTTTGGAATTCCCCCTAAGCCACCCAATCAAAATTCATCGCACTTATTACTTCTCAAATGTTGATGAATTTGGCGTGGTCATCAACATCATTGGATCACTCTACATAAGTTCACTCTACGAAAGTGTAATTAATAGTAGATACAAATTCGTGGAAGAGACCAGCATCATCCTCCGAAATCATGAATCCGCCAACATTTACCTTGCTCAGTTCCTCGATTGCTCGCACGCAGCACCCTGGAAGCGAATTGCCGAAGCCGACTACCCAAGATAACCCTTAGATTAGAAAAACTGAAGCGTAAAAACCTCAGTTCACGCTTTAGAGGTATTTTTGCTCTACTAACATAAAGATCCATCCCTCTATGTATATTTTGTTTCTATACGTGTGATTAGATGATGTGTGTATGTGTAGGACAAAACTTCAACGCACTGTGATGAACAAAAATAAAATACTTTCACTTGGATTTGATAGTATTATATATGGCTTTCATCGTAAGTTTTGGAATCAATTTCATTGAAAATTAAAATGTGTAATGAAATAATGTTCCTTTAAAAAACATTTAACATGTGGTTTTCCTCAAAAAGTTTCAATGGTTTTTTTTATAAATAATAAGAATGACCCATTTACATACACTTTCATATTACTGAGATTTAATTTTTTTCTTACATGCTTGCAGTTTATTTCAATATGACCATATATCAAGTTTGTCAAGGCTTTAAAATTCATGAGGTCAAAATTTTGTCTTCCCTACTCCGCTCTTGTCGTTATGTCGAAGCGAATGTGTTGGATACGTTCAGTTCAAGCTTTGAGATAATTAGGTCAAATTTGTTCAAACAAACTAAAATAATTAGGTTGAAAGTAATTGAAAACTTGGCTGCTAAAATTCCGAAAGTGATTTCAAATTTAAGCCGCTGATAAAATGGGAAAGAAAAGTTTTAGCTTTTACATATAAAGTGAAAAAATAAACTAATCAAAACATTTAAAGGGAATTTGAATATTGACTTCTTAACACGATCAAAGTCAATGATGTAGTATCACACAAGAACCATCGTTCTTTACTTGCTAATCCATTGCTTGGTTATTTAAAAATAATGATATTTTTGTTATTTTTCTTCAAGATTTCATAACATTAGAAACCAAGTTATCAAATTACACATATTCAAATCCTTAACAACATAACTAAAGAAGATAAATTTGAAAAGATTTTGGAATTTCTCCAAAATTAAAACTACTATTAGAAAAGGTACATTTCATACTATTAAGAAGAGATCATTTTCCTTTAAGATTATTAGAGACTATATAGATGAGAAAAAAAACTATATAAGTAATAATAAGAAACAAAAATATATTTCAAATTATAAAATACATGGTGGAAAAATTATAATCATAATATAATTATTTAAATATTAGTACCTTGACGGATTATATCCTTGATTCATAAGACATTATCTTCAATATTTACGAATTTTAACTTTCTTAATTAAAAATTTTCGAGATAAAAATATTCACATCATTATTTAAAAATTTTAAAGTCTTTATCAAATTTGTACAATTTTATCCTTATATTCTCGCAAAATAAAATCGAAGTCAAAATTTATAGAGATTTTGTTAAAGATTTTTTTGTAAACTTTGATCTTTTGTGTAAGAATCATAGATATCGTATCCAATAAATTTAATCTAAAAAATTTCATAAAGTATATAATAGATTAAAGTTTAATGATATATCACTTATGAGATGAAATAATGACACATAGCATATTGTTAAAATATTTTTTAAATCCAATTGATGTGTTCGTCAAATAACTCCGGCCCCAATAATTTCACTTCTTAGATATCCACAAACGTTTTAAATATTATATAAGCTAAATGACATATAACACAACATGTTTTATAATTCATAAATAAAAACATTCACATTTGTCATATGTACCTACGTCTCTAGTTATAAAATCCTTAATACAAATGATAAGATTGGTACAAAATTAAACGAAACAAATAAAACCACTAAAGCACGTACCACCACCTCCACCTACAACATACCGTACCTTCAACCACCTCCACCACCACTGTATGTCTGTATCCTCCACCACCTTGAGAATAATCTCTCGCCATATGACTTGGTTCACTACACCTAAAGCAAGTACCATCACCACCATATCCTCCTTAATAATTTCCATCATCACGTCCTCACCTCCACAGCCAAAACCACCACGTCCACCAGATGAACCGCCGTTATTTCACTGAACAGGAGCACCCTCGGGTCCAGAAACTTCAACAGTCTTCAGACGACTGGCGTTGTCAACCTCAACCTTGAACTCAACAGCTTCATCAACGGCAAGGCTACGAAATTTTTCAGATCTAATGGACTGGTGAACGAAGAGATCGTCACCACTCACCACCGTCGTCTGGTGTGATGAAACCAAACCCCTTGTGTGTATTAAACAACTTCACCGATCCCTTGCGTCTCTATCCACCACTCATATTTTCATCACCGTCGCTCATTCGGATCAAAGTCTCCGACAACCAAAAATCACTGATCAGCTATTTTTCCTATCTCTCATAATAAAACATATAAATTAAAGTCAAAATAGGATAGCTATTTTTCCTATCTCTCATAATAAAACATATAAATTAAAGTCAAAATAGGTTAATGGCAATTAAATAAACAAAAGAATATAAAATTACATATTCATTAGCATATTCAATCCTTTAGTCGCCTAAAACTAAAATTAAAAAATATATATTTGAATCTAAAATTAAAAAAATAACACAACAAAACAATCTAGCAAATATAAAAGAGGTTAGATGAAAGCCTAACTCCTATAAAGATGGGATTGAACTTTTTGATCCATGACGAAAACATGTACCATAAAATACACAAATTAACTCACACGTCAGTTGTAATCTTCTCTCCATCGATTCAAGTATTAATTTCCACACATCCAAATTATGATTGAACGTAAAAATCATATGTGGAAATTGCGGCATCTTTCAATTCACTAATCAAAACTGAAACAATCAAACCCTAAACTTTTCTCTCACGATTACAAGGATTCAAAGTGATAGAATTGCTTAAAAGCCCGGTATCTATTTAACAATTTCATCACGATAGACATACCTATGCAATCTCGGCCGATATCGTTTTAGAGAACTCTGTTTTTCCTGAGCTTAAAAATAGACTCAATATGTTTTAGAAAGCAAATTAATGTTAGAGTTTCTAAAAAACAAAAGAAAGCATATAAATAATTAATAACAAAATACAAATAAAAATAGTAGATTAGAGATTACCTTCTCGTAGTCATCTAATAATAATAAAAAAACTCATAAAATTAAGAAATATTAATATACAAAAATACATGTTTATATCAGATCGATTTAAACGTAGAGATGAGTTTTTCGAGAACCTTGAACAACATAGCTCCAATAATTTATCAAATCTTTCATATAATAACACGACATAATTATTTCTACGAATAACAAATATTCTAAAAAAAAAAAAAGTCTCAATCACACAAATAATCAAAGAAAATAATCAACAACCAATATACAAAATAAAAAGAAAAAACCAAAACAAATCTAAAACATAGTCGATTATAATATACCTTATCAATCTCATTGACCTCCAAAAACTTGTAAATCACTTCCGCATCAGCGCAATGCTCCGCCTTCAAAAACACAAAAACTATGAGTAACGTTGACAAAAAAAAAAATTATTTCGTTATGTAGTGCATGGTAAAAAATTATTTTACATCAGATCCGATGAGAGACAACTATCAATAATTAAACCAACACAAATTATAAAATTGTAAGTAATTTACAAAGAGACATAAGAGAAGCGCTAACTAAAATTAAAGAGGACTCACGATTGATGTAAAAAGTTTGTTAATGAATTTAATGAAGAGGCATGTCTTCATCAACTCGTTCATTCAATCTCTTGACAGAAACTCCCATGAGCGGTTACCTAAAACATAATTCACACGATACAAATCAGCAAAACAATAACAATCTTGATAACTCATAGACCAAGATAATAACAATACAAATATAACCTCAAGAAAAAGTAAAAAATAATAACGCAAAATAAAAAAATCGATCCATAAAAGAACCAAAGCAACAAAAAAAAAAGCTATAATATCAAAACGATATGTTTAGGCTAACGAATCTGAGTTCTAATGGTGTGGCTGCGGCTCTATATTTATAGCTTAAAATCTAGGGCACACTGTCATAATTATCTCTAAAAATTTATTTTTTAAAATTGGAAAATTTCTTGATACAAATATTCGTAAGATATTTTAGTATCTATCTTAAATTTTTATAAAAATTAAAAAACGAAATATTACATATTTTAATATTAAAAAACGAAATATTCTATATTTTAATATTAAAAAACGAAATATTCCATATTTTAATAAAATTCACACGATTTTATTGTTTTACCCTCACCAAAAAATAGAAAACTGGATTTGATAGTGTATTCATTAAGGGTGATTAAGACTAATCATCTCAAAACACGATTAGACTTATATACCCCTAACAATTAAGAACAAAAAATTTCAAAATCGAGGGTGTTTAGGACATTAGTATAGAGATCAACACACGATTAGACTTATATACCCCTAATTACGAAGAAGAAGAAATTTTGAGAAGAACAATTCATTAAGGGTGTTTAGGACAAATCATTCCAACTTTTAACCACAGGCCTCCAATGCCCTAACTTTGAATATGGTGCGTTTCTACTTCTCAATTAATTATTGTAGAGATATATATATCTAAGTTCGAGGTAAATTAATCAACTTTTAAAAATTTAGCATGACAAAAACCTCAATTGTATTGTTGGCAACAACTAAAAAAAAAACATTTGTATAGTTTATGACAACGACCTTTAAACTCTTTGGTTGTATTTGTTGCCAAAATCAATCAATCAAACAACCACAATATAATGTATATTAGCATATATATTGTATGAATATTTTTTGTACAACAACTAGAATTCTCTACATTAATCATGTAACCTATGATATTGATAAGGGATAATATATTTATCTTCTCATATATGGTATCAGGCTATCAGCTCTCCCCTTTCAAACAATCTCTTAAATAAAAATTATTGAAATTGTTTAGTGGTATTAGCTTCCTAAACAATCTTTATGAAAATATCATATTTTACTGAAGTGTAAAAAATATATTATCTTTATGTTTGTAGATCTTCCACCTTTGATAGTCTTCGATTGAGTACTAACGCACTAATAAATTTTGACAACCCATGTGTGTCATACATAAAATTCTCATTGTGTGTCATGCATGAAATCCTCATTGTGCAACAAAAGTACACAACCAACTCTTGAGCAGTCTATCATCTGCCGTGCTATTTATCAGAGAAATTCAAGTGTTGATTTAAATGTCTCTCATTAGCTAGTTAAGATTCATACAATAGTCTATTGATGAGATTGATCATGGTTTTTATATTTTAGTTAAAATCGTTACAATTGAACCTAACCCCACATACTAAGACAAAACCTTGTAAATGCAAAATTTTAGCCTCAAACATAGGATTTAATGTTGTTAGAGATGGACTACACACCCTCACATAAACCCACCTAAATCAAGATTGGTTCACGTAATTCCTATTATGTTCTAGTTAGCTCGTCGCCTTGGCAATCTAACTTTTCCGTGTAATCGCCGAACTCAAATTTATGAAAATAAAAATTCTTTTAATTCCCCAATTGATTTTTGGCTATCTAATACTTGGTGAAATCTCAGTTCAACAAATGCTTTTACGCTAATACTGTTTATTGCATTTCCCTCACTATTACATTCTTAATCATGATTTTTCAAATAAATGGTATGATAAAAGTTGTATCTACTGTAATCTCGAACTACTGGTTTGACAAGCCTGACACCAAACAAATGCTTTTACGCTAATACTGTTTATTGCATTTCCCTCACTATTGCATGCCGGTTACTATGTAACCAACCTGTCCCGTGAGAAGCATTCCTGTAGAAGTAAGCTCAGGCTCCATAATCCCAACATCTAATACTTCATAAGACTGACCCGATGCAGCAAGCGAAACCTTATCCCCTTTACTGAGCATTCCATCAACAACAGACACATAGCAAATGACATACTTGTTATGACTGAGAAAGGAATGGAACAACAACATCCGTAGAGGCGAATCACTAGTCCCAGTAGGGGGAAGAATCCGTTCAATAACTGTAGGAAAGACATGCTCAAGCCCCAAATCGGTTTCAGCAGACACTAGAAGCACATCATCTGTGCTGAGATCAAACATAGACTTCAACTGAGCTTTCACACGTTCAGGATTAGTTGTTGCTTGATCAATCACGTTAATCACAGGCACAATTGTTATGTTAGATTCAGAGGCTAAGTAGAAATTAGCCTATTTTTGCTTGAACTCCCTCACAAGCATCAACAACAAAAATTGCTCCTTCACAAGCCGATAACGCACTTGAAAATTGATCCTAACAGTTTATTGCGTGGTGAAGTGTTGGAGATTGAGCTCTGTATATCGAAAGTTAAAGCATGAATGATTGTATGATTAGGTCTGGTTTGGGATTAGAAGATGTCTAAGTCTCTTTGTAGGTTCTTTTGTTTTTTGTTTATCTATGACATTAATGTTGATTTAATGATGTTTTGGCTTCTTACATTTGTGTATCATGTTCAAGATAAAAGAAGAAGAGATTTTGATGAATTTCTAAGATAAAAGAAAAAGGAAATTTACAAAATAAAGCAAACCAATTAAAGTTTTAAATGAGTTTTGATCTATCATGTTCTACTACACATAGTCCAAGTTCGGTTTGGGTTTGGTTTGCTATTCGGTTTTCTCGAAATGATGAATTTTAGTCTGGTTCTTTTTTACACCACCTCTAGTTTGCTTTTAGTTCATGTGTTGATAAATTTATGGGAAAGTTACTAGATTAACCCAAATAATGATTTAATTACTAGAATGTCTCAAAAAATTTGGGGGTTAGATGGGTTATTTTCATGACGATAATACCCTTTCTCTCTTTGGTTAGGAAAAAAAAAAAGTCAAATTTATCCTTAATGTATCGAGACACTAGAATCACTCAGGATAAGATCAAAGATAGAAAACACTATCTTAAAAGTCACATAACAGAAATACAAAATCCTAGGAGGAAACAAACATACAAACCTCAAAAACTGAGATATACGTTTCAATAATCATAGGTGACTAAATGTGTATGACATTAAGTCATACTGACTAGGAGAAATTTTCTAACTATGAGAAATTTCCATAGAAAACTGACGAACACAAAATCACGAGAAATTACGCAAAATGAGGATATTACCACCAGGAAAACAAAGAGAGAGAGAGAGAGAGAGAGAGAGAGAGAGAGAGAGAGAGAGAGAGAGAGAGAGAGAGAGAGAGAGAGAGAGAGAGAGAGAGATTCCAACAAACCTTACCGGAATTATGAAGAACGTACTCACAGTTGCTATTGGGGACCAAGATCTGCAACAACAAATGAGTAATCAATCAAAATTGCAATTCACAGTCAAAATTTCAACAATATGAGTGAAAATTAAACTAACCAATTGTCAATTGAGAATAAAGACTTCGTCGATGGAGGAAGAACGGTAACAGTGATGGCCAGTAGCTCTGATTACACCGGCAAATCGAAGGAACAGATGATTAGAGGAAGAGGCCCTCGCAAAGCAGACACACAGAGACTCAAGCGGCGGTGGCAAACAAAGATTAGGGTTTAGGAGAAATGCCGGAGATGACGGGAAGATAAGGAATTAGGCGAAGACGCCGGAAAATAGAAGAACCAGAGAAATTGGCGGCGGGTTCCCCAGAGAAAAAGCACCGTCGTCTATGGCTGCTCTTCTGTAATCGGCGGATTCGAGTCTTCGTCGGAGTCGCGATTTCGATTCAAGTCTTCGTCGGAGTCGCGAGTTTGATTGAGTTTTGTTTTCTGAGGCTGAGAAAAAAATGAGAAAGTCAGTCGTAAATAATATTAGGGTTAATTGTTTTTTTGTTTTGTTTATTGTAATTTTAATTTAAATGTTATATTGTTTGATTTTTTTTTTAAAGACTAATTACATTAAATTGGGTTTTTGGTCCTTTTACACAAAATTTGTGTTAGTCTAGTAAACTACAAAGTAGGGTGTTAATCTAGTTATTAATCTCCAGATTTGAGCCATTTGGATAAATTATTTGAAAATTATTTAAAGGAATTTCAGTTTGTTTTTTCTATATAATAAGAAAAATAACAAAGTTCTGATTAAAAGCCTCATTCTCAATAAATTAAAAACTAAAGAAGCTTTGAAGAGAGTGAGAGACGACTAGAGTTTGTAGATTGTTGACATTCTCACATCTAACCTCCTTAGACACTTAGAGGTTACAACTCTCATTCTTTATGTCTCTCTTAGTTGCACTCTGTTTTAGTTCTTGTTTAGAGAGAAACACAAGAACACGTTTTCACTTTAATTGTCTACATCTTTATAATTGGATCACAAGATGTTCTTACACAACACATAACACATACATATAGTGGTTTATCTCCACTTGCTACTCTAGACACATGAACCTTAATCATGACTCTTACACAAGCCATGCTCCTAAACACTAGGCTAATTATTGACCTTACTTCTAGATAGAAGTCATACAAGCAACGTTTAACAACTCTCTTCGACTCTAACCACTCCTACTAACATTTCTAATCTAAGACTATCTCCAAGACTCCAACAATGAGATATTCTTTGAGTTTCTCAAACAAAAAAATATTAGAATTTTAATAAATTTCAATTATATAATTATTTGTTAATCACAAATCTAAAATTGAACTAATAGATGAGAAACAAGTGGCCTAGTGAGAACCAATCTAAAGTTGATAAAAATTCTGTCACAAATTATGAAAAGTAAGGAATTATCTTTATAATAAATATGAAAATATTAATGGCATTAGAAGATTCTACCACTGATAACCAAAAAATTCCTCAAATAAAAAAGGCAACATAAATTGTTTGACAAAAAAAATCCAACATAAATTGTTCACTCTCAGAAACCATATAAAAAAACGGCTCGGAGTTCTTTTGAAAACTCAACGAACGGTACGGAGTTTAGAAGGAAACAAATAAGGACCTTCAAATTCTCTAAAACAAATACTCAATAGAAGACAAACCCTCTGGACCAGACCAAGGCACTTGCACCATCACCATTGAGTCTTCATAACCAAACTCAACAACTTCACCATCAATTAAGCAGCTCACAGGTTTTTTCGATGCATAAACCCTAAACTCTCCCGCACCAAAAACTCCGATCTGAACAGATTCATCATTATACACTAGAGACCGTATCGCACCGCTTGTGTTTAGCATGTTAACCAGTCCAATCGGAGCAAACCGGACTGAATTACCCTCAATGGTCACAACAGGAGAGACAGTGATCAGCTCAAACTTGAAAGGCTCTAAAGTGAGCTCGAGATCATCGTTTAGTCCAGACAACACAAGCTTCTT